AAATGGAAGAATTTTATAGTGTTTCTGGAAGAAGTATTGTGAAAATATTTTGAAATGAGATAATTTTCAGGCCTGCATGGCTTAACAGGGAGCTCCTGACAAAACTCAAGGATAAAATGAAAGTGCACAAGAGGTGGAAGCAGGGTCAGGTAACCTGGGAGGAATATGGAGACAGTCTGAGCATGACCGTGACCACGAGCATCTTGTGTCAGAAATAGTGTGGCCAGCAGGAGTAGGGAAGTGATCGTGCCCCTGTACTCGGCACTGGTGAGGCCGCACCTCGAATACTGTGTTCAGTTTTGGGCCCCTCACTACAAGAAAGACACTGAGGTGCTGGAGCATGTCCAAAGAAGAGCAATGAAGCTGGTAAAGGGTCTAGAGTATAAGTCTTGTGAGGAGTGGAACTGGGGTTGTTTAGTCTGGAGAAAAGGAGGCTGAGGGGAGACCTCATCGCTCTCTACAACTACCTGAAAGGAGGTTGTAGAGAGGTGGGTGTCGGTCTCTTCTCCCAAGTAACAAGCGATAGGATGAGAGGAAACAGCCTCAGGTTGTGCCAGGGGAGGTTTAGATTGGATATTAGGAAAAAATGTCTTCACCAAAAGGGTTATCAAGCATTGGACCAGGCTGCCCAGGGAAGTGGTTGAGTCACCATCCCTGGAGGTATTTAAAAGACGTGTAGATGTGGTGCTTAGAGACATGGTTTAGTGGTGGACTTGGCAGTGTCCTCAGACTCACCTTAATCCCTGGGACGGCGATGGAGCAAATCTTCCTGAAAACCACTTCTGAAACACATGAAGGAGAAGAATGTGATTGGGAGTAGTCAGCATGGGTTTATGAAGGGGAAGTAGCGTTTAACCAACCCAATAGCCTTCTGCGTATAGATGACTGGAGTCCAGCTGGAGGCCAGTCGCTATTGATATACCCCAGGGGTTGATACTGGAGCTAATTCTGTTTAACATTTTCATTTGGTGGTCTGGACAATAGGGTAGTATGTGCTCTTAGCAAGTTTGCAGATGATAAAAATTGGGAGGAGTGGCTGAGAGACCAGATGGTTGTGTTGCCATTCAGGAGGACTAAAACAGGCTGGAGAAATGAGCAAACAAGAACCTTGTGAAGTTCAGCAAAGGGAAATGCCAAGTGCTGCACCTGTGGAGGAATAACCCCATGCACCAGTACAGGCTTAATGACTGGAAAGCAGCTTTGCAGAAAAGGCCTGGGGCGTCCTGGTGGACACCAATTTGACATGAACCACCAGTGTGTGCTTGCAGCAAAGACGACCGACAGCCTTCTGTGCTGCGAGAGGAAGAGCATTGCCAACGAGTTGAGGGAGGTGATCCTTCCTCTTTACCCAGCCTGGTGGGGCCCCATCAAGAGTGCTGTGTCTACTTCTGGGCTCCCAAGTACAAGAGACATGGATGTACTGGAGTGAGCCTTGTGAAGGGCCACAAAGATGATTAAAGATTGGAGCATCTGATAGACGAGGGCTGCGCGAACTGCGACTGTTCAGCCTGGAGAAGAAAAGGCTCCAGGGGGATCTTAAATGTGTGTGTAAATACATGATGAAAAAGTGTAAAGGAGACAGAGGCAGACTCTTCTCGGGTAGTCAGTGAAAGGACAGAAAGTACAAGAGGCACAAACTGAAATACAGGAAATTCTATTTAAATATCAGAAGACTTTTTTTGACACTGTGAGGGTGGTCAGACACTAGATCAGGTTTCCCAGAGATCGTGAAGTCTCCATTATTGGAGGTATTAAAAACCCAGCTGAACTGAGCCTGCTTTGACTGGGTGGTTTCTTCCAATGACAGCTGCATACAAAATAATTGTATTAGAGTTTTCAAAGGATACAAGTTATTTAATTCTGATGTGAAAAATCGGGAAGTACGTTTCCTTTCTTTCCAGTACGTGGCTCTGAGCATTAGGATGCTATCCTGTTTTCTGCCTCTTGGCCCACTAGAACATGCCACTAATTCTTCAAATTGCAGCGTGTCTGGTACAAGGCTGTACTCAAATGCTTGCTCAGTGCGCTTACTGTGCCTGATTCCTCTGGCTTGTATGTGTTGTCTTCCCCACAAGTAACCTCTAGGTGAGTTTTCTTTTGGAAATTTTTGTATCCCTTTGTACTGACTCTGTGCTTCTGCGAAAAGAGAGGTACAGGCTAGGACAATACTGCTCCCTCATACCTGGCCCCAGTACAACCAAGTGCAATGTGTCCGCAACAGCTATATTTGGACATTAATCTTCAGACATGCTATATAGTTATTGGAGAAACACAAGTACATCATTTAAGTGATCTGAAGCAGAATGCATTAGGAAATTATGTAGGATAGCCAGTAGGAAGTTAGACAGTGCAGCGAACTTCACCCCTCTGTCTCCTGCCTAGAATCTAAATAATCTGATGCTGGGCACACTTAGAAATGACCTGAAAGTGTTTGTAGAGGGAAAGGGGAGTTTCCTCTCCTACCAGTTAAAAACAAAATGTACACAAGGGAAAAGCTTTCCATGTAAAGGAAATAAAGACCTACTTCCCTAAGGTGCTTAGAGTCTTGCAGGTGAATCTGTTGCAGTTCTAATAAGGATGAATCATCACTGTTTTTTTCCTACTGTATAAACTGATTTCTTTAGCGTAGTCGGAATGATGCTAATGCTTGAGAGATGAAGTGCCTGGTGTATAGCATGAACTAGGAGAGCAAGGAGTAGTGTTGGTCCTGTTCCCGCTGCCTGCTTCATGCCTCTATGCAGCCACAGTGAGATTATTCACTTGCAGAACAGGTCCTTACCCCAGCCCATGTGCTAATATTTATGCTCAGAAAGGTCCAGAAAGTATTAGAAATGTACCTGGTGGGATCTGCATGTGACCAGATGAGGAATTAGTTACCTCTACTCTATGAGCAACTGAGACAGATACCTTGTTATCAGGTTCAGATATGCTTGTAATCCACTGACATCAACATCTTATAAAGAGTTAGTCTGTACAGTATGGCAATTTTTCCCTTGAGGTCATTGGTCACCTGGAACATGGAAAAAGCAGTTAGTTGATTGGGGTGGAAGTGTTATTTTAGTAGTCCCTGAAGAAGCTCTTGTTGTCCAAAACAAGAGTGGAAAGTTTACAAATCTGTAAACTAAAAATACTTCTGAATATTCTAGAAGTGTGGTGTGTGCTATTTCAAATTGAGCTTGCTAGAGCCAGCACTTAAATATTTCAGATCATTTCTAAGTGTGCCCAGCATCAGATTATTTAGATTCTAGGCAGGAGACAGAGGGGTGAAGTTCGCTGCACTGTCTAACTTCCTACTGGCTATCCTACATAATTTCCTAATGCATTCTGCTTCAGATCACTTAAATGATGTACTTGTGTTTCTCCAATAACTATATAGCATGTCTGAAGATTAATGTCCAAATATAGCTGTTGCGGACACGTTGTACTGGGGCCAGGTATGAGGGAGCAGTATTGTCCTGGCTTTGATCAAGCTCACTCTCTTATGCCTGTTCTGATTTTCTTCATAAGTGGCCTCTCAAATATATGGCTCTGTAGCTCTTCTATTATTAGTGTTCTTATATAGAGAGCTTTAATTAAAAGAGGCAACACGCTTTGAGGTGAGCAAGGTGTTCTTGGGATAGAGGTTGGGCCGTGCCCTCGGTAGTCCACAGCCTGAAAGGAGGGATGATGGTGTTTGTAGTCATGGAAGTTCGGATTGTGGAAATCAAACCTTTTGTCTAAAGTGGCTGAAACGGTTGACTTAAATCTAGGGTACCACTCCTTTTAAGAAATCAGTACAGAGCATTCATCCGTTACAAGTGAGTCCATAAAATGATCCAACTACTGGAAGTTGCATGCTGACATTTTTGCTAAGTCCAAACAGCAGCAAAGCAGTCACAGATACACGCTCTCACAAGATGATGCTATAAATGTTCTACGTCCAAAGTCATTCTGGAGGCTATTTTAGAGAGAATAAGGAAATTTTTGAAAGCTTTTTTTAAGATACGCAACTACAGTCTTACAGCTTTTTTTCTTCTGGTGATTTGAGAGTTGTTTATAAAATAGGGCATTGGCTTTGAAATTGGGTTGTTAGCTTTTCATTCAAAAAAATTTCTGAGGGAAACTGTTGGTGATGGAAACTTGAGTGTTCTTGGCATAGAACTAATGCAGTTCAGGCAGTCCTTGAGGACCTGTGTATGTAAGAAACACTTTTTTTTTTTCTTTTTTTTGGTTTTATGACAAC